CCAACCTGTTATGAGACTTTGCCGGCATTTTCGACGTGTCATGTCTTCTTGTTATCGTTGCATTGAACGTCAGCCGCAAGTAGTTTTTACACATCAATACAAATATCATTGTAACAATCACTATGAAAAAACTCATAGTTTCTTTGAGCGAGGTTCATAGATGATATAGTTCGATACAGCATCAGGTTTATTGATGCTGAGTTTCTGCATATGAACAAGACAATTTCACAGCGTGATGAGACAAAATGGTTTTCGTGGTAATCGAGACAAGTTGCTAGCAATAAAATGCAAGCGTAGACAGCATACAAAGGCATGAAGGACTAAGAGCAAGTGTCGCTCACAGAACCATCGGAGGAACTATAGGTAAACTTGAAGATACCAAGTGACGAAAGAGAAACTAAATGGCAAAACTTATACTAAGTACGAAATCTAAGACTGTGGTCGAAAGTCTAGCAACGTTCTGGCTACTGAATGCCTTTATCTTTAAACTACACCTCCCATAATCGTGTTGCAATCCGATTGATCATGATTGATCCTCAGCAATCATATTGATCATTACTTTGACTAGCATTGTAAGCATAACCATAATCATATTTATAATGATCATTTAAAACATAAAATGCCGTAAAAAAACTATCTCGTCGTCAGAGCCATTTCCCCTCTATTATTATTGCATCATACAGCACCCCTTATGCTCTATAATAACAGACTTTACAAACCAGTCTATCACATTCAGCCTTCTGAATGCTCACGCTCACTTTTGCTAGGAATACATTCACCATATAGCACCACCCTTCCCCCCACTCACGTAGATACTTACTTATTCCCCCCTCCTGTCGCCTCGGTTCAACTGCCAAGATTGTCCTTGTATTTTCATTAACTTTTCACTGACCCCAGTCACCTCCCTCTCTTCCAGTAATGCGATCCAGATTTTCAGGTTCCAGTAATGCAATCCAGATTTTCAGGTTCCAGTAATGCAATCCAGATTTTCAGGTTCCAGTACTGCAATCCAGATTTTCAGGTTCCAGTAATGCAATCCAGATTTTCNTCTGCGCATCTGTCTCTTATACACATCTAGATGTGTATAAGAGACAGCAGTAATGCAATCCAGATTTTCAGGTTCCAGTAATGCAATCCAGATTTCCAGGTTCCATTAATGCAATCCAGATTTTCAGGTTCCAGTAATGCAATCCAGATTTTCAGGTTCCAGTATTGCAATCCAGATTTCCAGGTTCCAGTAATGCAATACAGATTTACGGATTCGCTGCCGCTTCCACTGATGGCTCATATGTGCAAGAAGAAGTTCTGTGCTAGAAGTTCTGCCCGTACGTTCAGCTTCTTCGAATACTGGAATATTATCGCCTAGCAATTTATGAGGCACTTCATTGGGCTGGAAATTACCTTAATGATAGGGAAATTTCAAAAATTATATCAAACACTAAAGCTCTGTTTAATTATCGAGAATAAGAAGCCACAAAATCTTGTCCCTCTTGTTTTTGAAAAACCGGAAAAACTGATTTTTTTAACTCTCGCATTACATAAAGTTGCATTTTGTCCTTGGTCATCGTGAGACTGCGGGCAACGAGGCTGCCGATCGTGCAGCCTATGTAGCCTACACGCTCCCGTACCATAATTCTCTTACTCATTTTTACATGGAAGAAATGGTAAGATGCCTACGTGATACTTGTGATGTATAAAGTTACAAATTCCCTACTCATGATTAGACAGCAAAACACCGATTAGGCTTGACCATTTCTGACATAGGCAAACAATTTATTAGCTGTAAGTATGTGCTGCTTGATCCTGATCAGGGTATAAGTACCTCAGTTGACCGAATCGACACTTCTCCGACCTCGCCTGCAGACTCGAACGCAAAACCTAACTTTACGTTCAACCGAACTACGTATAAGTCCTTCAATACTGAACGGATTTGCTTGAAATTTGGAATATAAGATGTTATCAATGTGCTACGGCAAGTACAATTTTTACATTACTTCGTTTTCAATTAAAACGAAAATGCGCAATTTTTGGGAGACCGAATCACTCATAAGTAATTCAAAACTGAACGACTCTCCTTGAAAGTTGGAATATGAGCAGGTATTATTAATGCTCTGCGGCAGGAATTGGTCAAAATTAGATAATTTTCAATATTTGAAATTAAGGTGAGAAAACTTAAACAAAGAGGCCATAAATCTGAAGAAACGTGTTGTTTTCACACACTGGGTACGTTATAGAATCTAGACCTTTAGTGATGTGTTTCTGCCTAGTCTCGAGTCTTGAAAGATCCCCAAAAGTTGTTTTACTTCTAAAATAAACCTCGAATAGCCGATACTTCCGAATCAATCGTATTGCCGTGATCAATATGATAATGAAGTGTTATATATATCAGTATATCTTAGGAGCTGGGACGGCTGCCAGCCTGGCAGTCCGTTGCATATCTTAACAAGTAAAAGTCGAAATTGGAATAGAACCGAACCGGCCGTCTATAGGGCCGACGTAGAGAGACGACAGAGCCGCGATAGAGCAGAAATGTCCGCATTAGAGACCAAATCTCTAGCCGCGGAGCAGCGCTAATTAACTCTGAGCCCCTGCTCTAGCGGGCTCTGTCCTGCGAACACGCAACTCTCAGCGAGCTCCTCCGGCTCTAATCCACTCATCGCCGGCTCTGAAGCTGCTCTGGCAGCGCGTCTGGCAGTTGCTCGACTGGTCACGTTTGTCGACTACGAGACAACAATTTAAGATATTTTTTCTTTTTCTCGCCGAGATCACCGACACGTTACTCTCAAGTCTCAACAATGTCAAGTTACATAAGATAGTCTTCGCTGTCGAACATTCACATCGTATTTACACTTGCGATATCAATTACAAACTAATTAAGTAAATTATTAATTAAGGATGTAGAGAAGCTTTGTAGTGACTCGATCATAACTCGCACTATCATTTCTTGTGAATGTCGTAATTATTTTTATTAACTCTTCAAACTCGTTAACCACCAATTTCTATAGCTATTCGCAACTTAATTACTTAGAAACTTGCCTATTACTTCCTATGTCGTCAATTTACCTTTTGGAATAATTTTGCAAATATTCTGTCAAGAGATATTCTCAATTTTCTAACACTAATAATATTCGTATGATTTTGAGTTACAATATAGTTCGATATACGACAAAATATTTTTATATTTAATTCGATCACTCGAAAGTTGTGATTTTCGTTTAGAAGGTGCTAGCGGACAGAGCTAGAACCATACGGTAGAATCACTTTGCTTTTTCACGTCGACGTGTTAAGATCTCCGGGGTTACGGGGTAAGAGGCTCAGCCGATCGTTCAATTTAAACTCAGCTCATTGTGATTAAATATTTCAAAGTGTAACCGTCAGAACTATATCATGGCTTGCTCTCAATATTTTCTAAATGTTGTTTCCTGCTGTTTTGTGTCAGTGTTATGCTTAGTCAACCTTCTGAACCAAAGTCAGATAGCTATTCAACCTCATAATATCTGAATAACCATTGTACTCATTATTTCTCTAAACATTAATATTCCATTTTTGTTCATGTCATGTTTGTATTCTAATGACACACCGCCCCACACGACGTCATTCTTTATCCCATCAATAAACATACTAAACCTTCTGATTCTTACTCAAGCCTACATGATGCCTATATACTACAAGCAATAGGGAGAGGATGAGGAACTACTGTTATCACATATACATATCAACTTCCACTTCCTAAACATCCCTTTTCACCCTATAGCTTCATATTACTCACCGCTTAGTGTTGAACGTCGTCCACAGCTCCGAGATTCGAACGCAGGGTTCTCGCTTCATAAGACCATGCCTTAGCCAGCTTGACCACCTAGGCACCTTACTATACTGAGCTCTATCATTTACATAACTACAAAACGAATGACTTGCTATCGTCATGTAAATCGAGATATAGCCACATTTGTGGTAGAACCGTTTTGAAATTATTCATCTTTGTTTATTTCAGAGGAATGAAGGCAGCTTCTATTAATAATACGTGTTGTGGAATGGGTCACAATGTCCGTGATCAATATCGTTCACTAATGAAGGCAGACAAGCACTGTTCCTCTGACAACTTTTAATGATTTTCGGGCAAGCGAAATGTTGCTAATTCCATCTTTCTTCAATTAATTTACAAGTTTGTTCTCCAGTTTATCAACATTTTATATTGGAGCTCAATTTATATCGCAAAATATTTCTCATTATTTTCATTGACTAAATCAGCATCATTGAAAAATTGAGGCAAACATGTCATGATTAATGGAACACGATAAAGCAGCTGTATGAAAACGCTTTGAATATAAGCTATGAAGAATTTTACGATGAGATCGTTTGAAATTAAAATATTACTAAGCTGTGAAGCAGTTTATTCCTACAACTTTCAATCGTTAGCAGGAGATTTTTCTAATTTGTTAAGGGGAGCGTCTACCCTAAAATTGAAAATTTTTACTTTTTCGGTTTTCATACTAATTTTAAAGCTGACATTCTGCCCTATCCAACGGTACCACTGCCATCTCTCTACGTTGATTTATGATTTCACGACATTTCATGAAAGGTTTGAAAATCCTAGGATGAGATAGATTTCAAAAGTACCCCCTTTTTTGACCGTTTTCTATGAATTTCACGTTTTCTTTCATTTTTTTCGAAAAATTCACAGGAACAAAATGTGATTTTTTTCCATTTTACATATGTGTAACAAGTTTCAGAGTGATCCGTTTGTAAATAGCCGAGATAATTTTTGGGGTAGACGCTCCTCTTAAGAAGCTAGTAAAATCAACAACGTTTTCTGTACAGTCACTGTATAAAAAAATTTTCAGGACAAACTATTCGATATCTCCTGAACATTTTTAAAACATAGCTGTGAGTAAACGTGTGTCTTTGCGGAAGTGTTCAAACTGGGAGCTGTCTCTTATACACATCTAGATGTGTATAAGAGACAGGCCTAAAGCTGTTGNAAATGGAAGGGATACTGTCTCTTATACACATAACAGCTGCTCGATGAGGTACAAGAACTCGAGGAGGTACACGAGCTCGAGTCGCGACTTGAGGGAGTAGAACATCGCGTCTTCCTTGATTTCCTGTGGCAATACAACAATTGGCCGTCAGCGGGGGCAATAGTGGAGGAAAAATAGGACTTGCACGCATCTTCTCTTCTTTTGCATGGATCTTTTTTTTTCTTTCATATGGCATTACATATTTATTCCAGTATTGCAACGTGTTGCGCAGTTGGGTTTATGGTTAACCTATTAATTACCTATTAACCGTTTTGGGAAATCGTTATTGAAAATTCGTGAATAGAAGAAAATTTCAATGCATGTAACTCAACAAAACCTCCAAACAATATAATTTAATTTCAAAACTTAAGTTTCATTTACAATGACATTTATCGAATATCAAACATGTTTTCTGATTTATGTAATCGAAGAATTTTTTTTTATTTTATTAAAGTTCAAAACTCTCGAACCATTCTGTCAATGCTGAATTGCACATTTATTTTCAGGAGTACTCCTAATATTTTTATTGGTTGCTAACACCTGACGCGCTCTCACTTTAAATAATACCACTAATTTTCCCTTGTTGTGGCGTGCGAACCTTAACATCAATGACGGCGAGACCCGTCATGACGTTCATTAGGACGAGGAAGACGAAAAAAATAAATAATAGGAACATGATGACGGATGATATGGAGTAGATCGTGCCATCCTTCATCAACTCTTCGCTGAAGGACGAATACTCGAACTCGCCCGTCGACATGACGATGGTGCGCACCAGCATCGTAAAGAAGCCTAGGGAGTGGGCGGACAAGTTCGCGAAGTTCTCGTTCTGTTGGACGGACAAGTTCGCGAAGTTCTCGTTCTGTTGGACGGACAAGTTCGCGAAGTTCTCGTTCTGTTGGACGGACAAGTTCGCGAAGTTCTCGTTCTGTTGAACGGACAAGTTCGCGAAGTTCTCGTTCTGTTGGACGGACAAGTTCGCGAAGTTCTCGTTCTGTTGAACGGACAAGTTCGCGAAGTTCTCGTTCTGTTGGACGGACAAGTTCGCGAAGTTCTCGTTCTGTTGAACGGACAAGTTCGCGAAGTTCTCGTTCTGTTGGACGGACAAGTTCGCGAAGTTCTCGTTCTGTTGAACGGACAAGTTCGCGAAGTTCTCGTTCTGTTGGACGGACAAGTTCGCGAAGTTCTCGTTCTGTTGAACGGACAAGTTCGCGAAGTTCTCGTTCTGTTGGACGGACAAGTTCGCGAAGTTCTCGTTCTGTTGAACGGACAAGTTCGCGAAGTTCTCGTTCTGTTGGACGGACAAGTTCGCGAAGTTCTCGTTCTGTTGAACGGACAAGTTCGCGAAGTTCTCGTTCTGTTGGACGGACAAGTTCGCGAAGTTCTCGTTCTGTTGAACGGACAAGTTCGCGAAGTTCTCGTTCTGTTGGACGGACAAGTTCGCGAAGTTCTCGTTCTGTTGAACGGACAAGTTCGCGAAGTTCTCGTTCTGTTGGACGGACAAGTTCGCGAAGTTCTCGTTCTGTTGAACGGACAAGTTCGCGAAGTTCTCGTTCTGTTGGACGGACAAGTTCGCGAAGTTCTCGTTCTGTTGAACGGACAAGTTCGCGAAGTTCTCGTTCTGTTGGACGGACAAGTTCGCGAAGTTCTCGTTCTGTTNACGACGGCAACAAACAACTGCTTCATCGTTTCTGCATCTAGGAACTCGTATGAGCGTCTGATTAGTCCAAGAAGTTTGTTGGATGTGTTAGCTTACGTTTCAACATGCTTAGAAAATTTCAGATCCTTGTCGACATAAACTCCGAGATCTTTTTCCACACTAGACTTTGAAATGACTATGAAAATTACAGCAGAAAGCTCTCCTCGCAGATCAAATGCTCTTCGGATATTTCTTACACCTTCTGTGTGAGAAACATTTGAATCAATATGTGTGCGGAGAAAAAGGTCTACATTGCAAACATTGTTAGCTGACCATATAGGCATCAGCATATCCTACGCAAATCGACTTCGATGAATTGGCAAACTCGGATATCGGTTTCAAAAACTTAAATACTTATCCATATCCCTACACGAACTGTTCAAAAAGCAAAGGGATATCACGAATTTATTTCTTCATCATTCTTATCTTGCCAATGAGTGGAAATTGGAAGCACGGGAGATGGATATGGAAGCAGAGTAGAGGAGATGGATACAGCGAGCGCATAACCTATTGAGTCATTAGCGCTCGCCGAGCGCACAACCAATTAGGTCATTAGCGCACGGCGAGCACATCCGGCTTGAGCTGCTCCAGCTCAGGGTCAGCTACGCGCACCGACCATAACGCACCATTATTAGTGGCACGCAACGACTCAAGCCCGCGAGCAGGCATCACCAATTTAAGGGGACCTTCTACCCTAAAACCGAGGTAGCCTATAACTCCTACAGTTATTGTCCGATCATCATGAAACTTCACATACATACGTAAAATGTAAAAATAATATACGTTTAAAAATTACTTTTTAAAGACAACACTTCCAAAGAATCCAGTGTCTCCAATCTTGAAGATGTACCATGAATTTCTCATTCAATTTTCAAATATTAAAAAAATTAATTTTTCAATTTTTTTAATATATAAATTTTTAATATATAATTTTTTTCAAAATTATTTATTCTATTATTTGATTCCTGCATTGCCTCTGACTCCACACAAGTGTG